CAGAGGCTGAGGCAGGAAAATCGCTTGAACCCAGGAGATGGAGGTTGCAGTGAGCCGAGATCGCATCATTGTACTCCAGCCTAGGCAACAAGAGTGAAATTTTGTCTCAAATAAATAAATAAAGCCCATGCACATGTATGTTTATTGCAGTACTATTTACAATAGTAAAGATATGAAACCAACCCAAAAACCTATCAATGACAGACTGGATAAAGAAAATGTGGTACTTATATACCACGGAATACTATGCAGTCATAAAAAGGTATGAGATAATGTCCTTTGCAGGGACATGGATGAAGCTGGAAGCCACCATCATCAGCAAACTAACACAACTAACACAGGAACAGAAAACCAAACACCGCCTATTCTCACTCATAAGTGGGAGCTGAACAATGAGAACACATGGACACAGGGAGGGGAACAATACACACTGGGGCCAGTCGGGGGTGAAGAGTGAGGAGAGGGAGAGCAGTAGGACATACAGCTACTGGATGCGAGGCTTAAAACCTAGACGACGGGTTGATAGGCTCAACAAGCCGCCATGGCACACGTATACCTATGTAACAAAACTGCACGTTCTACACATGTATCTCAGAACTTAAAGTATATAAAAAAATAAAGAAAATTCTGCAAAAGACCAAATGGCTCAGTATGCATAAAACAGTTAAAAGCTGGCAGATTATAAATTTTTTTGTGGTATGAAAAATAATAAAGTTTTTTTTCTAAAAATAATTGCCTAATGGATGAGTGGTAAACACACACAGAAAATGTGAATTTGTATGATACAATGTGCATAACTAAATGTAGCAACTCATATTGTTGACCTGAGAATTCCTTGGAAAAAGGATAGTACTTTATACCTAGGCTAGTAGTTTTAGTATAAATTTTCAAAGCATATTAATAGGACATAAATCTAATAAGAGGTTAGAGGCTCTACATATAAGTATGAATACATTACATATATATATTCACCTTGATACATATGACCTATTAATCTGTTATATTTTTATTCTTCACTTTTCTATGCCCAATTTTAAATCAACAATAATACCCCTTTTTAACCAACTCAGTAATATGAATGATTTCACTGCTTTAAAATTATTTCAAATCTCACCAAGTCTTGTGATTGTAAAACAGAGACAATTTGCTTTGTGTGTGTGGGTTTTGGGGCAATAGAAAAGATGGGAATCAGTTTTTGGTTTAATGTCTCACAGGGTAAAGAGAAGGGAAGAGTCATGGAAGGCAATTTGTGAAATAGTAAATTTATAAACATATTGACATAACTTTTTTGGTTCACTTCTTTGTGATCTTTGTTTTGCATGTATTGTCTTATTTGAAAAAAAAAATTGTTTTCTCTCCTGTGAAAATAATTATGATAAGTTTGTGTGTGTGTGTGGTTGTTATGTTTTGTCTAGCCAAAAAGGACACTGAGTAAATTTTCACCAGAGCCAAGTCTATTTAATAAAGTCTAAGGAATTAGAAAATATTTTAGTCCATTCACACTGCCATAATAAAACATCATACACTGGGTAGCTTATGTACAACAGAAATTTATTTTTCACAGTTGAGGAGGCTTTCTAGCAGATTAGACTTCCATCTAAGATCAAGCAACAGTAGAGTGGTGTCTGACGATGAGCAGTTTTCTGGTTCATAGGTGGCAGTCTCATTGCTATGTTCTCACATGGAGGAATGGGGGAGTTCTCTCAGGAATTTTTTTTTTTTTTTTTTTTTTAGAGCATTAATCCCTTTTGAATGGGCTTTGTCTCCATGAACTCATGACCTCTCTAAAGATTTGCCTTCTAATACCAGCACCTTAGTGATTAGGATGTCAACATATGAATTTTAGGGAGACACAAACATTCAGACCCTAGCAGAAGAGAATGCAGAGGCGAATTAACCCATAACTGCTAGTGGAAGTGAAGATAGAAGAGATTATACTGATATTTAATTATGTTTGCCATCATAATTAAGACACAACAACAACATTCTTCATGTATTTGAGTGTTCACTGAAAATCTCTTCTGTCTCCATCACATTATTATTTTTCTGGTTTTGATCAGTTATTAAACTTGTCACGGAATGCATACTTCTTTATGCAATAAATCTCAATCATTAATTGTTCTGTTGTAATTTTGAGTATGGGGTAAGATCATACGGTGAACCAGTGTAAACTCAGGCTAGGCTTTGTGAAGACTTCATGTAATTTAAAGTGAAACAGTTAATTTAACTTGATTACTAAGTTATTTAAAGCCACTTGTTTATTTGTTTTGTTTTGCTTTTAATGAGGAATTTATAATTCAGGCATATCAAGACAATAAGCTAGTATCATTATTTTCTCAAAATCACCTTTGCACTCCCTCATCTTTGACTGACAGTCTTGCTGATTAGCAAATAGCAGTAAATGACTCTCAAAGTAACCAATCCAAAGGGTATTTTGGCCCTTAAATTTACACGTGGTTTTTAGTGTTGGCAAGCACGATTTATTCAAAGGTCAAAGGAGGAATTATTGGATCTAACGTTTTTTCTTCATTGGGATAAAATGAAGGACTTTTGTTGTTTAAATAAATTTACCCTTCCACTTTTAGTGAAAAAAAATATTATTATCCTTGACAATGGGTCATTTTTCTACTTCCTTTTCTTTTTTCAAATAGGTATGAAATTGTAATATTGAATAGTTATATTCTTGTGTAAATCTGAATTTGTAACATTTGAAATAAATATTGTGAATTTTATTTCTTGCAGGTGCATGCAATAACAGAGTAGCCATGTGCTGAAGTACGGTCTGAAAGTAAGCGTTAGAATTTGTGTATTTAAACAAGTCTGAAGGATCATTTTATTTGAGAACATTTATTGCTCAAATGTAAACTACTGCTGAGGTGGTACTTACAAAGCTTATTGGGCTGCCATCTTGAGTAACGTAAACATTTTTCCTTTTAAGAAAGCCAGCTAGTAGTTATTCTTTGAAATTTTTCTTTACGTATAGAGTTGCTTTAAAAAAAAATTCCCAAAACTTTAGCCTAGGTCATCTGAATAACCCATTCTCAAAACATTAAAGATTAAAATATTTGAGGTTTTGTGACTTGAAAAATGTAAGGTATGGCAAGAACATGGGCCCTTAATCTTTTTAATCTGTCCAAACTATTTATTTATAAAACATAAATCCTTCTAACTTCAAACTGACTTTGTTCAAATGTAACATTTTTATTACTAATGAATGCATGTTACAATAATCCTATCATGCATTTACTTTAAAATTATAAAATATATCTAATATGAAAACCTTATTATGGGAGAATTAATTAGAAAAAATGGTATAATACAAAATTATATTTTCAAGACACACTGAACCCAACCTTATGCATAGTCCTAGACCACAGCTAGATAAATATTTCCATAGAGCTCAGTGTTACACAAGCTAGGAATTTGTTCAACGTTGTATGGGAAATAGCGGCAGCTGGCCAAAAACTTTGGAGTTTGTTTATTTAATCTGCTTTCTGACAGGTAAGTACTTGGAAACAGAAATTTGTGAAGGATAGTTTTTAAAAATGCTGACATTCAAATTTTATTGTATCATCACATAAATTGCAATAGATCATATATGATTCAACCAGAACGGCTCAGCTTGGCTTATAATAAATAAGTCACTTAAAATAACCCACTAATTTTATCTCAAATTATAACCTTCTCATATAAAAATATTTTAAATAAAGATTAAGAATATGTAGTATGTGATGCGATAAATCATAGTATCTCTTTGGGTCTTTTGGCAGATTAATGAGTTACCTCATCGTTATTTACACCCGGAGGACACAAGGACGGCACTGTTGCTCTGCCAAGAGAAGCAGAATCCCATCTCTAGTTATATATTATGTCACAGAACATTTGGTAATACGCAGAGCACTGACTGGTATATCAGAAACATTTCCCAAGCAGATGGAGTACATTATTATAATTTTGGTGAGTAATGTCTGATGATCCAAAGGCATATGAAAGAATCAAATACAGCTCTGAGATGCCCATGTTTGCTGAAACTAGCACCTAACTTATCTAAACAAGAAATGGAAAACATCTACTGTATTGTGATACCTAACATATAGCCTGAAAATTACAGAGCGTCATGATGAACAGAATAGCAAACTCTGAAGGACCTGACCAGCAATATGTCTGATGGCTGAAAATCACTTTTAGAAAGTACACTTAAAGAACCACACGGATTATAAACAGCAGAAATTTTAAAAATTAGACAGCGAGTTGGATATATGTCATATTTGTCAGAGAAGATCAAACTAAGGTGACACGTTTGATCACTCAAGTGGATTGAATATTTTCTTAATAATGAATATTGAGATAATAAATGAACAAATTTTGATAGTATTTCCTTACATATTTCTCATCAATCACTTCCTGAAGACTAGTTAACTAAATAACTATTTGTTTATAATATGCAATATTATATAATATTATATTTTGTAGTGTGTGTGTGCGCTCTTAGATAAATATTTCCAAGTTCAGAATATTTAGAAATTTTTTATTGTGTTTTTAAATATGTAAACTTTGGAGTTTTTTTCTCCCTTTAAATCAAGGTTCTATTATTTATTAATAAATTTGTTTTACCAATTTTTGCATACTTTTTTTTAGTTCTATACATTATGATTGATATATTTATTTCTTTGCTCATTAATTAATTCCATAAAGATTTTCTGAATAACAAGTAGGGTTCTATTTTAGTTTCCTTTTTCTATTTTATATTTCCACGGGGTGAAATTTATATTTTAGTTTGCTTTATTTAACTACTAAAGTACTACTTATATAGTAAGAGTTCAAAACACATCTAAACTTGATAGAAGAAAGTCTTAAAAATAATGTATTCATTAAATCAAGTTATTTTAAAGTCAGAGATACATACAGTAACTCCATCATCATGCCTTGGAGAGTATACTTCATCCCTTTTTTACATAAACCATCATCTTTTAAATAACCAAACACTAAAACACACACACCTGTCATTTCCAAGACTTTTGGAAAAAATGATGTCCAGAATCGGCATTGCTGAGCACGTAGTTTAGTCAATATTCTTGATGACTCTGTATTCAAGGTTAGATATTTTTGTTCAGTGCTTTTGAAGACAGGCCATTTTGTGCTATTATTATGAGTCCCATTTGGATTCCTAAATAATAAAATAGAGACATTATAGTAAAATTGAAATCATTGTTAGATTAAAAAGAATATTGTTTTCTAACAGTGTTCACAAGAGCTTTAAAGAGTTTAAGACAGAAAAAATGTGGATATATACTGATGATATGAAGCGTAAGTGAACTGGGCTTAGTGGTTTTAGAACTGAGAACCACTATGTTATTTAAAATTGTAAGAATTAAAATTTAAAGTTGAATTTTTTATATGCATTTCCGCTTAACATATTGGAAGAAAAAATTTTTTATTTCAATAAAATATATCTTCATTCACACTTAAACGTGCTCAAAGGGTGGTGCTACTTTTGTTTCATTCTCTTCCCTCATCTTAGACCCAATCATTTCACAATAAGGAATCATATCACTTACACATCTTTTATATCTATTTCATTCTATATACTCTTATTAATACTGCCTGAGTTTAATACCAAGTTTAATTACAAATCTTATTATGTAATAATCTCATTACTCCAGGAAACTTCTTTCAGTCCCACATTTAAATTTGTCTAACATCTCCTAGATCTGTTTACCAATTAAAAATCTTTCAATAATTCTTCAGTGGTTTCATATTAAGGTTAGTGAACATGGTACCACCCATATTTCCAAGTTTATTTTCAGATATTCTTTTTATAAACCCAGCCAATAGGAATTAGGTAGAGTTCCCCAGTAAATCCCTCTTTTTTTCATTTCTTCTCTTTGCTCCAGCTGTTACTTCTGCTTGGAATTCTTTTGTTTTCCAATTTTATGTGTCTAAACTCATTCAAAACTTTTATATTATCTTTTCATGATATTTTCCATATTTATAGTTGTGATTTGAAAATGGATAATTGTCGACATTATCTTTTCAATATCTATAGTGTTGAGCTCGTTGATGCCTTTATAGCACTCAATAATATATTAATGCCAAGGTCACATAAGTAGGAACTCAGAGTTTTTTTTAAAGTGGCTCTACACAGTCACTACATCTGTAGATTTCCTTATAACATATCTTTGTTATTAGTGTGAGTTAGACATGGATCTAGGCCCTAGAAATATAAATATGAAACACAAAGTTTTCCTCAGGGAATTTATAAGCATGAAAACCCAGGGAAACAAAGAACTACAACATAAGACAACATAAACCAAGCCTAAAAAAAAGGGCCACAGATTGTTCAGAAGAGGGAGCAGTCATTACATGCTTGAAAGGAAATTACCTTATGGAATGGGAATCTGACTGAAAGAGAGGAAATAAGGAACTGAACTAGAAAGGAAAGCTGGGAAAGCTAGAAAAAGGGATAGAATTAACATAGACATTAATGATAAACTTCTTCTTAGTTCAAATAATAATGAAAAAGCTAGTTTTGTTGAATTCTGGGATAGAGGGAGATACCATTGAATTTATGTACTTAGCATGTTAGTGTTATCACATTAGGTCTAACAGCCCTGGAAAATTGTTTAGAATCGAATTTGTAGGCATTTACTACTCTTGAGGAACTTCTGACTAAATGGCTAGTGTGAGCATCATATTTTAGAAATATTGATCTCAAGGTGAGTATTTAGAATAATCAAGAAACTATAAAGTTTTTCAACCTTCTCTAACATAAACGAAAGATTAAAGTGACAAAGATAAGTAATTCATTCCTTGCTCTTATTCAACCTTACGCAAAATCATGTAAGAAAAAATTTAGTTGAACTTTTCTAAAAGTTCAACACAAAAAATCCTTCATCATTCAGATATCTTCTGTATATTATTAATAGATAGAAATTTTGGAGTAGTGTGAGCAGATCTAAGTTTGTTCTGCTTTGTTTTGTTTAGCCAAAGTCTCTAAGTCCAGTAGAATTTGGAAGGAGAAGTAAAAGTATGGTTATCAAGAGGCAGATTTTTGCCATCAAGAACTTATATTGAATACACACCATATATTCATATTTTATCACAGATGCAGGCATGTTCAACCATGAATTCAGGAGCTTTAGAGACAAATAGTTTCTTGATGTACCAGTTTATTTTATGGAGGAATGGGATATTTTAATAAGAATTAATAATCAGAGCTAGTCAAGCTAAACCAATATCATAGCAGGGTTGAAACCTCCTGCTTTAGGGTATTATTTAAGAGAGATCAAGAAGAAAATTTCTCCAGATCACAGATGGCACACTTGTCTAGGTAAATTATGTAGTCTTTTTTCTTTCTTTTAAAGCTGTAGAAACTAACAAGTACAGCTGCTGGAGGTTGGATATTAAACCAGGAGAACCGATGGTCTGATTCAGTACAGCAATTCTTATGTTCCTAAATTGCCCACTTTTCTTCTAATTCTGCTCTAATTTACTTATGGCAACATTTTAACTGCACATTCATTTCTGTCCTCTGTGAATGGCGACTTAAACAGAGCTGACTTGTACTTGAGTTCAAGAGCAAAGCACTGCCGGTGTTCATTTAACAAACTTTGTCCTATGAAATAACTCATGACATACCAAATTGTAATTTAGAGATAATAAAATTCCTTTGCCTGCAGATGTGGATACAGTTTTCAAAAGATTGAAATAGCTATTGAAGTGATGAAGTATTTTATTCCATAATTTGAAGAAATCTCCATGACTTACAAAGTAACAAGAGAGACAATTCTTTCTGTCTGTATCAATTAAACACTTTGTGAAATACAACATATTTCCACTATACACAATTCCAAAGCATTACATTTTTAAATCTCAAAATCATAAGATCAATTTAAACATCTTGACTTTGCTGTTTCTCAAAGAAGTTTTTGTTCTCGTCACAAAATAAAGACTTCAAAATAGTAATAATTAAAATCTTCCATGAAGTTGTATACACTCTATTTTTATCAGTATCACGTTCTTTTTCTACTTTGTAGTATACCAAAATGCTCTAGAGATCACCCATTAGAATTTTCTTCATATGTAGGTTTGAAAGGTTTTAAGACACAACTAATTTAACAACAAAAAAAGCAGAGAGTATCTTTCTTTAACATCTGTGTTACAGAAAATTACTTGCTTGCCATTGATATTTGAGCACACAGTTGATAACTCATTTTATGAGCAGATTAAAGGAAAAGACATCAATTGATTCAGGATGCCCTGATATGAAGAAAACTTTTGCATCTAGCTTCAAAAATAAAGTTTTCTTGGAATTATAGAATCCTAGGATTGCCTACCCAAGCCTAAAATGAGAATTAAAATTATCCTTAGGAATTCAGAGACAGTTATTTCTAAGTAAGCTATAGTAGTTTTTGAGAGAATGTATTTTAATTAGCTTTAAAATCTAGTAAAATGAAACTATAGTTAATAGTTATATATTAAAAGTCTAGATGAAATCTTTCACTGTCATAAGAGGTTTGAAGAAAATATATTGAAAAAGTTTTAAAACGTTAAAATATTTATAGATTCCATTCCGTGTCACTTAAATGAAATTCTATTTTAATATAAGGAACAGAAGGGCTATAAGAAGGCCTAATTTAGAAAACAGATTCATTCATTCGTTCAACCAATATTTATAAAGTGTGTACTAGGTCAGGTATTATTTGAGTGATAAGAGAGTCAACAAATACAAAATAGAAATTCGTTTATCTTGCCATTTTTATTTGATGAGAAAGACAAGAAATAAGATCAATAAAGTAATGGTGTAACATGTCAGATGATACCAGGTGCTAGTGATAATAAAATGAGGAATGGGGATAAATAGAAATGGCAGGTGAGTAAGTATCAGTGTGTGTGTGGCAGGGGGATGGTGAGGGAGTCCATAATAAAACATCTGATTGTCGTTTGTCTCTTGTTCTTGCAATGTAATCTCTAAACACTTGGAATATTGTGTTATACATGATAGCTTATGCTAACATGATGCCTTATGGTGAGTATATAATAACTTAGGCTCATGAAATGACTCAGGGTGGGGATGGCCACACTGATCATCTTAGGGTAGGAACTAGCCCTGCCAGAAATACCGTCCATGTTATTAGAGGGATGAGACTTTTAGCTATGTGATATCATCCTGACCTCCACGGAGGGGAAGGAGCTGAAGAGTGATTTTAACCATGCGAGCAATGATTCAATCCATCTTGCCTATACATAATAATAAAATCCCAATAAAAACTAGAGATACAAAGCTCAAGTGAGCTTCTTAGATTGGCAATACTCCATAGATACATAAGCACAATAGATGTCGTGAAGATAATAGATCTCTGAGAACAGAGAAGTTTTGCATTTGGAATATTATAAGTCCAAGATGCTCTACGTGTCTCATCCTCAGCTAGTTCTAATTTATATATTTTTGTTATAAGAAAACTGTAATTGTAATTACAGGGCTTTCCTGAGTTCTATGAATAGCTCTTGTGAGTTATAAAATCTGACTGATCCAAAGGGACTCTATATTTGTAAACAGCTAGTCTGAAGTGAGGGTAGCCATGCGGACCCTAAACTTCTGACTGGTGTGAGAAATCTTGGACCAATTTCGCAGACTGGAAGATTAAACTTGCTGTAGCTCTGAGTAAGGGAGCTTTGTAATATTTAATAGAAAATGAAGTGAAGAGGAGAAAAGGGATGAGCCAAACAGTTGTTTGGGGAAATAGTATTTCAGCAGAAAGGAGGGAAAACAATGATCATGAGAAAAACGTTTGCTTAGAGTTTTCCAAGGAAAGCAGGGGGGACAGTGTGACTAGAATAGAGGCAGGAAGGGAATGAGTGTAGGAGGTGAGGTTGGAGAGGGGACAGTAAGGTCACATTACTTAGTGCCATGTATGTCTTCAAAAGTATTTTGTGTCTACTCAGAGTAAGAGAAGGAGGAATTGGAGGTTTTGCACAAAGAAAGAACAAGATTGACCAGGCATGGTGGCTCACGCTTGTAATCTTAGCACTTTAGAAGGCCGAGGTGGGTAGGTCACGAGGTCAGGAGTTCAACACCACCCTGGCCAACATGGTGAAACCACGTTTTTAATGAAAATACAAAAATTAGCCAGGAACGGTGGTGGGCCCCTATAATCCCAGCTACTC